TGGTTTGAGTCCCAGACCCAGTAGCTTCAAACACCCAGCAGGTATTTTGAGTAGAGTTTGGAGGAGAATCCTCCAATCCCAAGAGGAGAATGGAGGAGAAGGGATTGCAGAGTGCCTATACCCGAGAGGTCATTTCTCACTTTCTGTCTCTGGTCTCTCTGGCATGCCTCGTAGCAAAACAAAAACAAAAAACTCTCCAAAAAAATTATAAAAATATTCATACCATGCATCAAAACCTGTACACTGGGTGCCTACAATTGGACCAATGTGTACCTTTGAAGAGTTTAAGACAGAGAAGTGACACTTAAGCATAAAGAAATTAGACACAAGTAAATAGATATGATATTGGAGAGAAATGCAGGCACATGACAGGAAGTTCTGAGTCAGGAAGATTTAAAGACAAAATAGTGACTATGTCTAAGGTAAAAACTATGGATTAAAATGCTGCATTCTAACTAGGTATTTTTAAAAGATAATTATGGTGTAAAAAAAGTGCCAAATTGATTATTTTTATTTATTATAATAATGTGTATTTTTAAGATATAAATGGTGCCATAAAAATATAGATTTTCAACTAGCAAAGGGAGTCAATAATTCATTCTGATGTGCAGAATTCAACCATAGGATGTTTGAAAAGAATGCAGTTGTTAATTGTGAAGCCTAAAAACAGAACAATAGATGTTTTTATGAGAGTCAGACAGAGCACTAAAACTGGTTTTTGTACCAAATAATATTTCACGTGAGGAAAGGGTTTGCAAAGCACAATTTAGGCTGGTATAGCTGAAAAAAGAATCCAGTGATCAGGGGAGTGGAGGAGCACAAATCACAGGGTGGTGTCTCCAGTTGGGTTTGCCCCAGTGTATTACAGGGAGTAGCACCATCGACAACAGCATAGATCACGGCTGCTTGTGGAATGTTCCAGTTCAAAGGGACCCTAGATCACTGAGCTGAACCTCCTCATTTTATAGATAAGGAAATTGGGCAAATAACTCTGCCTCAAGGCTTTGATGTCATACCAACTCATCTGTGTCAAGGCAAGACTGCAGCCAAGACCTTGAGACTTCTCACTCAGTACCTTTCCCGCTACACGAATTCCCAAAATGTGACTACTCTGCTAAGTTTCAAAAGAAAATAGAACTGTATATAATATCTGCCTCAAAAGTTGAAACTTAAAATATTGTATAAATTATTCTTGGGAACCAGCAGTTAGCGTAATGGCTATGTCGCTGGATTCCCACGTAGTCGACCGTGGTTCACGTCCCGGACCCAGTGGCTTAGAACTCATGCCAGGCACGTGTGCGTGCGTGCCCAAGATCCCGAGAGGAGAATGGAGAAGGGATTGCGGCGTGACCATCTCTCCTGGGGGGGGTGATTTCTCGCTTTCTGTCTCTCTGTCTCTCTCTGTCTGTCTGGCAAGTGCACGCGCCCTATAGTGGAAAATATCTATATATATTATATAAATTATTCTTAATATAAACCTCAACTATTTATTAAATAACTCCTATGTGCAAAATACTTAGAGGTTGGTATAAATAGATTCCTCTAAAAAAAAAAAAAAAATACTAGCAGAGGCCCAGCATGGTGGTACATACTGGAGCCACATTAGAGGTCCAGGGTTGTGTAGCAGGTTGACCTGAACATGCTAGATGTGCCCATGCACATCTGTGGTCCTAGCTGTCTGGGAGGCTGTAGAGAGAACCTGTCAGGAGTACCCCTATTCCTCTCTGTATCTCTTCATATCTCTCTCTCTCTCTCTCTCTCTCTCTGTACTTCTCCATCTCTTTCATGAAAGAAATAGACTTTTAAAAAACCTAGCAAAGATGTTTCCTGACAGAGTGGTTACTATGCTGTGTCTTCTATTTTGGGTATATCAAACTGTTCTTGCATATCAGGCTAATAACAAGTTCTGATAACCACATCGACACTTTCTACCCTTTGTCTACTGGGATTCTTTTACAATAACTGGTGATACATTCCCTGAAGATCTCCTTTAGCATCAAAATTAAAGATTAAACAAATGAAAAGTTTTTCAGTTGGGCTGATTTATCAGCCATTACCACTGCTACTGAAATAGACTTCAGGGGTGGAGGAAATGACCATTGTCTTTTCAGGGAGAAGATGTCTGTTCTCTTCTCTAACCTTTACTCTATAGAATGGTTTTCAAACTGTGCATAGCCTAAGACTCCCAGAAAGGTGCTCCTGCTGGAGTGGTATGTAGAGACAAGGGAGTTCCAAAGTGGGAGCATGGGGAGAGCAATGTCAAGATTCAATTGAGACAGTTCTTTTGTGTATTATTTACTGGGATCCAATATCAGCTCTTATTCCATCAAAATGTTTCTGCTGCTGCTAAAAAATATCTGAAAATACCTCGCTAAGTTATCATATAGGTCAAAAATTCATAGAATGGCATAGGTAATACTTGGCAATGACCCAAACCCTTGGCTTAAAACCATATTTAGTTTATAGATATCTGCCTTTCTTCTCTATATATTAATATATCTTAGATCAGAATAATTTAGAGCATTCTCTCAAAGAGTTCAAAACAAAAAGAACATCCAGTTAAATAATTGGGTCCAAGGGTTTGTATACAAACATGAAAGTCCTAGTGACCTGTCAGTCATCTTTTTTTTCTTTTCTAAAAAATTCAGTAATTTCCTGGATGCTGATCCCCTGAAGTACATCTTAATTATACCCTAACTGGCAACTTTTTTTCAACAATTGTAAACCCAGACATCTATGATACTTGTCTAGTAAAAATGTCAGAGGAAAATCTGTGTGATCTCTATCAGTACCCTCCTAATATAATCTGGGAGGGTCTCTGCAAGAATTTTAACCAGAGGCTCATTGGACATGCAGCTACCTGAATAGATTGCTCTTGCTAACACTGAATACAACTCCATCACTGTTGAGTAGATTAGTGGAACAATAATCAGCAATAAAATGCTACGGAGATTCAAGAAGTTAAATACATCGTAATAGTCATCCCAATAAAACTGTTCTGATAATGACTAATGAATCGTCTCAACTTGATAGTGTCTCTGTCATGCTAGGAAGGCAACAGAAATGGAGCCAGCTGCATATTAAAAGCTACTTCAAATCTTCGTGAACTGATGCCTTTTTAGGTGGTGTCAGACAAGTTCATCCAATAAATCTTTACCTCTTATCCACTAACTGTCAGGCACTGAGAGAGCTGTCTCCTCTGTCTCCAGGCATAATGGTGAGGGATTTTATTTCTTTGCCCTATTTTAGTCCATCTTTCCATCTCAAAGGGGTCCATATTTTAGATTTTTCAAGAGTCGTTGAGGTCTGTAAAGTGACAAAGCTTGGCACCACTTTTCTCCCCATAGCTCCTCAGCGCTGCTGATCCCTCAGACTTCAGAACCATGGAAGAGATCGTCAGCATGAGCCTCTTTCTCTAGTGCAACTGCCTTCCACAAATATCTTCTCATTTGAACTTTACCTTGGAGAAAGTATTTTAACTTAGAGGAAATGCTTTGACCATTTAAATGAAGATGAAGGAGACAGCAGAAAGCTCTTTTCAATTATGTAAAAGAAAAAAAATTATGAATACAACTACTAGAGCTATACAAAGTCAAATAAAAAGAAGAAAGAAAGGAAGGAAGAAAGAGAAAGAAAACAAAGAAAAGAAAGAAGAAAAGAAAACAAAGAAAAAGAAGTGAGCTGATTCCTGCCTGAGAGGACTTGACTGAAGGAAGAGAAAGAAGTGGTGTTAAGTATAACACTGTCTAAAAGGCGCAACCAAAAGCTTGGGATAAAGAAGAGAGGAAACACTGCCTAACTCAGCTGAAGAGAGGAGTCAGGATTGACAAAAAACAGTCTGCACTAAGGAGTCAGAGTATTGAAAGGGTGAGCAAAAGTTTGCCAGCCCCTCCCACCCATCCACAGTTGTATTTTGCATTCCAAGCAGAAAGTCATTGGAAATTGGAAACTTCCATAAGATTTTTCTCCCTGTTTGCCCTCACATTTCCCATGATGCTTTCCCAACAGAGTTCTTTTTTTTTTTTTTTTTTTAACTGCCAGAGGGTGCATGAACTTAGAGAAAGATCAAGAAACAGCAAGATGGAAAGAGGAGTGGTAGAAAACACTCCCAGAGGTTCATGCTCATGCTGCAAACCCTTCTCCATTTCTTTATCCTGCTGGGATCTGGAGCATGCCTAGCAGGCTCTCATGATTTCAAGATCAGGATCCAAACTGCAATTGACTGTGTAGGATCTAGCTCCCTTACCCCCTAGGCTATGGGGCCAGGTCCCCAATGCAATTATTAAGCACCAGAAATAGAGCTTCCCATAACCCATGATCCTTTCTGATCTACTGCCACTTATGCTATTAAAAAGGTTTTTATCTCTTATTTGTATCTAATATGACCCAGAGTGTAATCATACAGAAGCCCAGTAGGCCAGGGAAGATAGAGGCAGGACAGTTACAATCACATCCACTTAATGCTGATGGGTTCCTTCACATAGCACTTGGTTTTTATGATCCCTGAATTTTGATTTCTAGAGTTAGGGGTTGGTGGCTTAGGGAAACACAGAGAGCTGGTTATTTCTAAATTCAACTAAAGAAACCCAAAAGCAATGAGCAGAATAACATATGGCCACCTGCTGATGGAACACTGAATAACTTCTGAGATCAGAGGCTCAAGCACAGCAAAGACACCTTTCCATGCTCAGTGAGTAGAACAGGATATAATTACTCAAGTCCAGAGCATTCAGCTGAGGTCTCCAGCACCCAGCAGTCCTACATGCTTTTCCAATTCCTAACCATACCTAGCAACTCTCAAAAATGTCCAATTCCCCCCTTCCCCATGTGACTAATTTCATGAGAAAAGCTGAGGGATGAGGTCCAGGTATTGGTTGTTTGAAGGATTTTCAGGTTATTATAATAGAGTCACCAAGAAAAATGGTTATTTTATACGGCTATAACAGACTACCTGAGATAAAATAATTTATAATAAAAAAAATAGAATTTTTTTCTCTTACCATTCTAGAGGTTAGGAAGCTCAAGATCACCTCTGACGTAGGCCCTCGTATTGCATGATCAGCTGGTGGAAGGCTGAAGGTCCAGAGAGCAAGCTAACCAGATGAACTCTTTTTATGATGACCTTAAACTAATCAATTGCTGAGTAGCTCCCTGGTTTAATCATTTCTTAAAGGCCACACAGCTTAAAGCCACTATTTGGCAGCACCTAAATTTTAGAGAGGTCCCATTCAAACCCTAGCAAATGGTGATTCAGTGGGAGGTAGACACATTAGCATCCTGGAGTCCTCTAAGACTGAGATGCTTTGTCCTTCCTCATTAGTTTCTAACAGCCCCACACAAATAATAACATCATTAACATGAAATTCAGGAAAAAAATAATTTGCAACTGAAATCAAGCAGGCTTGCTCTTTTTTGAGTGTGCATAACACATAGCTATAGCAGTTCTACTGTGATGTAGCAGGTATAACTTAACAAATGAAAAAATGAACAAAAGAATTCAAGAGGCCAGATTCCATCAAAAGATAGCTCTTCCTCCATTTTCTTTTTCTTTTATTTTCAGATACTCTGACTGGATTGTGTTAAGGTGGAGTTTCAGGCACATAGGCTTTTTCAAAACTCCTCACAGTGATTTAAAGGTGTGCCGGGACCAGTGGTGTGAGGTTTGCACACTTTGCTGCAGATTAGAATCACTTGAAGAAGTTTTAAACATGCCGATGCTCAGGCTACACCATGCACCCATTAAATCAGAACCACTGGCACTGAGACATGGGTGCTAGTATTTAGTAAGCCCACCAGGTGTTTCCAATGTGCAAGTCAAAGTTGAGAACCAGTGCTTAAAAGTGCCCTGCACAGGAAAGAACATCGAGGAAGGATAAGTAACGGTAGATTCTAGTCTCTCCTTTGCAACTAATTCCGTGTGACCTTGCATGTCATTTTACCATGTGGCGCTTCAGTATTCTCACCTATAAATGGATATAGAGGACCTGATGTACAATCCTCTATGGCTGTTAGGATGGCTTTACTAAGCCTATTCACTGTACCATGGGTGTTGCCTCCCACAGCTCTGTATCAAAAGGTCTCTGCTATTGAAAAGAGGTGGTCATCTGCCTCAAGGATTAACAATCCTGGATGTTGTCTCTAAATCAAGAAGATAAAAGGCATCTCAGTTCTTCCCTAACTTGCTGATCAGACTGAACGTGTGATGCACCATGGTCCTACGTAGAATGACTATCGCTAATCAGTTTGGTCAAGAGACAATAGTTAGAACATGACTCAAGATGATTTGACTGTCACACATGTAGTTTAAAAATAAAGAAAAAAAGAAAAGTGTGCATTCATGGATTGAGTGGCTGATTGTAGTTTCAGTTCTTTCCCTGGAGCTCAATGTGTCAGGCACAAACTCCCTATTAATCTAGACAGACTCAAATCACTAGTTGTGAATCTCTGGGAATAGCAGACATCAGCACCAGGGTTCTCTGGATTTGAATTTTACCCTTCTCCAATATTCCTTATTATATCTAATACCAGTATACGGACAACATCATGAAGTTGAAAGCCAGGGAGAAGATAATTAGCAGCCAGAGAGTCTAGTTTCTTCTTGATAATTCATAGTTGAATTACTCTGGTTGATAAAAGACCATGGCTCAAGCCTTAGCCCTCCCATATGCTGATATGCTGGCTTCTTGACTGGATAATTGAAGCTCTGTTAATGAGGCCTTCAGTCTCTTCATCTCTTAAATAGAGATGATACCTACTAGTTCTCAGAAGGGTGTGGATTGAATCAAGCAATGTAAGGCAGAGTGTTTTGCAAAATATTATTTCTCTATCTTTTTCCTTTAGAATCTCTTCTCTCATAACACATAAAAAAATCATTTTTAGAGATTTAAATGATTCCCTGCTGTGATATAATTCTCCTACAGAAGGGTCCCATTCGATATCCCAGACAGCAAATTGCTATAATCTAACACATACAAAGGATATAGGCAGCACGGAGATACTATCAATTAACACAAGATCTACTAGCACACAATTAATATGAAAATGGTCTCCATTCTTATTTCCAATTCTGTATGAGTATTAGACTTTATCACAAGGGAAAGTAAAATCACTCAATTAGGCAGAATCTAAATACAAGGCAAAGAAATAGAAACAGAAAGGACCTGGGTTGTTGAGGGAAAAAAAAGTGAGACCATTTTGTGAAACAAAAGGCAGCAATAGGATAATAGAATGATGTTTTTCAGTGAGAAATTAAAAGTCTTTATCAATGTAACAAGGGTGGACATGGTTCTTTGCCATTTCTTTTTTTTTTAAAGCATTATTATATTTAACTTTATTGTTTCATTTATTTTATTTTATTTATTTTTTTGGAGAGGTTTTTGTTACAGGGCATGTACGCTTGCCAGAAAGACAGAGGGAGGCTGAGAGTCAGAAAGCGCGAAATTACCCCCCAGGAGGGATGGCCACGCTGTAATCCTTTCTCCTCCATTCTCCTCTAAGGATCTTGGGCATGTACGGACACATGCCCAACATGAGTTTAAGCCACTGGGTACAGGACTCGAACTGCGGTCAACTACATGGGAGTCCAGTGACATAGCCATAACGCCAACTCCTGGTCCCAACTTTATTTATTTTTATTTATTTTTAAAATTTGACCAGAGAGGGACAGAGTGAGAGTGGGGGATGGGGGGGAGTGAGAAAGCAAGCCACCAGCTCCAGGACTCAAACTGTGACTGGCCATGTGGGAGAATAACCACCATGATTAAGGCTTGTCTCTCCAGCAAGCACACATGCTCTGTGGCAAAAATCTTAAAGAAAAATAATAAATCTTGTGCTGTGTGCTTCTTCTGCCCTGGAATATCTTTAGAATTATTTTGTGTATATCAACTCTTTATTTCACCATAATATTCCAAGTACATGTCACTATTTCTTCATTTTATGTATAAGACAACAGAGGCACAGAGATCTTAAGTACTTACCTGAAATCATACAACTAAAACCAAAACCAGGAGTCAAACAAAGCCTTGGATCCAGATTCCACATGTCCAACTGCTATTCAATAGTAGTAACAAACTGAAGACCCTGAACACTGTTAGTAACTACCCCCAAATCTCTGATAAACACCTATACTATGATGTCTCAAGCCTCACTTAGCTTTGCTGGATCTTTCTAAGATCTAATTCATAACAAGCTTGCTAAGAACTTGTATTGAAAATGGAGGCAGGATAGTTTAGTCTGGCTCCCTTACCTCCTATTTTTTCATGTTTGAAGCTCACAAGGTAAAGAATTTGTTAGTTGTACTGTGCTGGTTATATAATTCTGACTTTGTTGTTTTATACCATTGAACATAATGCACATGTGCATGTGCAATAGTTTTGTTCTGGTGATGAGCCACTATTATCTGCAACCCCTTCAAGAGAAAGGGAGAACCTGGTCAGCTAGCTCTCCCCTGCTAGCTAGCCTTGTTCTGCTCAACCTTGATTCCACTAGCTCAATCCTGATGGCATTGACTTGGCTTGGCCTTGGCTCAGCTCAGTTCAGCTCCACACTCTATGAGCTCCAAGAGGGAGGAAGCCGCTTTGTGAGGGTTCTCCACATGTGTTACTAGCTTCAAGAGGGAGGAAGTACTTGCAAGCTCAGAATTAGGCTTTGTGAGCCTACTAAGAGCTTTGCAAGTTCAACGTGAACTCAGCCAATAACATTACATCAGTGCCTCATGTCTTTTTCTAACTCCCTGTCTCTGTTCAACCCTTCAGAGGAGAAAAGAAACTCACAAAAACAGAACTCTTACTTGCAAGGCCAGCATAATCTAGCCCCTGTCTATAGCGCCGTCTTTGTCTTCTGCTATTTTTCTTGTGCTCTAACTTCACTAGCCTACTTCAGTGCCTTCCTCAAGGCCTTTTCTCCTTGTCTTCCCTTTGTCTTGGATGTTCTTCCCAGTTTTCTATGCCTATTAGCCTCCTTCTTACCCTTCAGTCCTCAGTTAAAACATCACTTTCTCATAGAGACTTACCTTCATTCTAATATTCTATAGCACTTATTTTCTATCAGAGCAGGTCCCACAATTAATTATTATAAATTTGTCTGATTACTGTATTTTCAAGGGTGAGAAAAAAGATAACTCTGTTTATCCCTGTCCTGATTGTGCCTAACATGCTCTAGAACACAGAACATGTAATAAATGGTCTTTGGCTACTTTGATTAATGACATTATTTTACAAATTTTTATTATAATGCTGGTAGGTGAGCAGGCAAGGGTATTACTGAGTTAAAAATAATTTACTGATGAGGACACTTAAGACCAGAGTGGTCTAGAATGATTTACTATAATAAAGCATCTAATAAATGCTGGAGCTAGAATTTAAGGTCAGGTGGTCCCAGTACTCAATGTTTCCTTTTATCAACTCCATAAAAGGAGTTAATAATGGAACTGTCTTCTATTTTCAGCAGCAAATAGGTTGCATACTCATAGGACTGGAAATGGATACTGTCAAAACCAGATCTATGTATATTCGCCTTTCTCATTTTTCCAGAACCATACAACACTAAGGTCCTGTGGTTGTTTGATAGTCACTGACAGTACGTAGTGCTCAATGAACTGTACAGAACAAGCCCCTTTGTTCCAAACATTACCTAACAACACAAAAAGTCAAACTCAAGCAAGTCTAAGTTGTCCTAGGGGTATAGTTCAAGATCCTCAATGAGACTGGCTCAGCAATTGTTCAGAGTCAACAGAAATGGTAACCAAACGCGTAGAAAAAAATTGACCTTCATCAGAACACTGACCTCTTAGGCCCTGAAATCCTTCATGCAAAAACGAGATGCCTGGGGGTCCAGCAGGTGATATGGTGGTTAAAGGCTCTAGTTCAAGTCTCAAATCTGGTGGATTACTTTCTCACTTTCCCTCCTTTCTCTCTGTCTCTCTTTAGCCAAATTAAATAATAATAACTAATAAAGTTAAATAAAATAATTATCTCTTTTACAAAAATGAGAAGTCTGGATTTGGTTTTCTCTAACGTTTCCTCTTCTCTGAATGTGTGATCTTCCAAATAAATTCATAGATTTGACTGCTCATAACTTGGCAGGATAATTTTTTGAAAT